TCATTTTTATAACTTGAAAATGGTATCTGCCTGCCAGTAATATGATGTTGAAGAGGGGTATAATTCAGAGGCTTTTAGAAAAGTCTGAGTTTATTTTTTTAATATATAATTTTTAACATACACATGAAAATTTTGGATTTCTCTGAATAGTAAGACAGTGATGGCCAGGCCAATGGCTGGACTACTTCTATTTGTGCAGAAGAGGGTTTTTGTTTTATTTTGCGTTTTGTTTTTTTGAAGAACTTTATGACTGAACAATATTAAGGGAGAGGGAAGCCTAGTTAGAGTTGCATTTGCAAATCTGTCCTAGTGACTCACCTAACTAGGCTACTGGAATTTCTGCTACATGCTAAGCTACCAAATTTCTCCTTCTAGGAGCGAGGAAAGATACACAAACCCAATGGAAAGCTGTTGAACTATCATTTTGCTTTTAGCCACAGACCTCCTTCTCTTAGTCCTCCCTCTCTGAACAACCACATAGAAAAGGCGAAAATCCTTGTTTAGTTTAGACTTTACTTTTGACAGAATCCATAATTGAAACCTGCAGGAATTGTGAATATTCAATAGGACTTTGTTGTCGCAGGGTGATGGCGATCAAAGGCATCTATCTAACAAGTACTGAATCTTCTGCTATGAGAATGGTAAATTCAGACCTCGAGAAGCATGCTTGCCATTAATAGTGCGTTATTTAAAAAACAGCTATTGAGTATAAGCAAACTGAATATAAACAAACTGGTGCCCTAAATAGTGTGTTTCAATCATTGCCTCCATTTCTTCATGGTTTTAAATTTAGATTTCTCAGAGGACTAGATTAAAGAAAAGAAAAAAAAAAAAAAGTCGATTGCATTTTAGATCTGCTATCTAAAAAGGAAGAAATCCTATGCATGCGTTTGGAAAGGACTGTTCCAAAAGCTGGAAAAGAAATTACCATTTTGGAGATACTGACACTTACTATTTTTAGAAAGCAGACATCCTGCATATGGAAAAGTATGTGAAACTACATTTAGCATGAAGCCATGTAAACCATAAGATCTTACAGGCTCCTAATTTCAAGATGAAGAGAGTTAAATTATAGATTCTAATAGTATCTATAAATACTTTATCACTCTCTGAAATCTGTTTGCCTTTGTTCCTTATGCTTTTCTCTAACTTCTTTCCTTTCTACTATCCGAGTCCTCTCTGTTCTTCAGAACGCACTAATTCTTTTTACATGTGCTAATAATATGGGCACATTGCCTTAGGCCTCAAATTTACAACCCAATCATTTCAAGACCCCGTTGAAGGTTTACCCTTCTTTGTTTTAAAAGTTCCCATGGACTCAGTTACGCAAGGTTACTTCAAAGCCCTTTTTCTCTGCTTCCCTTGAGACTCTTTTTTTTTCCCAATATGATATTGGCCCTGTTTCCGTTGTTAACAACATTTCACTATTTTTAGGATGAATGAAGTTTATATGCAAGAAAAATGTTTAAAGTGGCTCTCATTTCATTCAGATCTGTATTTTCTTTATTTTAAATATAGCCCTCCATATTTATTTCTCTCAAATATCTGTGTACTAGTTTTGACTCTTTTTTAATACCTACTGCTTGACTCTCCACTCTGTTATACTAGCTTTTTACAATTCTAAATTCCTATTGCAAAATGATCTACACAGACCCAGATTTATTTTTCTGTTGTGTGCCTGATACGGGGAGAGGGGTGGTGGAGGAGGAGGAGATGAGGGCAGAGAGCAGCTTATTCTGAAATGAGATTTGACCTAATTGTGGAACATCTTATGCTTGATGATGTTTACAATCCTTTTTGTTTTTACAAAACTGATGATTATACCTTTACAATTCTGTTCTGTGTTGTTCTGGGAAACTTAAGGGTTTCCCGTTGTTGAATTGCAAAGCCCTATCTTGAGAAAATGAGAGGCAGCAAGAATGATACTGTTCTTCAGAGAAGTGTGTTCCATCCGCATGTCTCTCCCTAGTTCCTCCTAAATATGCTGTTGTATTCCTGCCTAGGCAAAACTCCAGTTCTGATTTGGGGGTTCAAAATGAAAGTGAAATCTCTGTAATGTAAATGTACTTCCTGAAGCTACCTTTAAGGCTCCCGCCATAAAAAACAACTATAACTAATTTTAAGTCTCCAAGTAAAATCTTTAAGTCTTCAAAGTTTTTAAACATCAAAAACTGTTTATATCTCCCTAAAGCACAGTCTCCAGAAAATATTTCTGATATAAACAATATAACTCTGAATGTGAAAGTTCACAGAAGCCCCTGTTGCACTAACTTCACACGGCAGCTTTAAACTGACAGCCCAAGTCTGTCTGCACACCTATTTAGCTGCAAGCCTTTGCCAATAAATGAAGTTGAGATGATCATTGAGTCCGATGATCATAAGATGGCCCCGCCTTCAAGCTCACACCTGACTACTGTGCCTGGCCAAACAGCTACCATGGGTCATGGTTTGCTCCATGGTGATCAGGTGATGGGGTTGGTCTCCAGTCCTACCTGGAAAGGTGTATTCTGCAAGAGCAACTGGGATTTGTAGACCTCCATTGCTTGTCACCATCAGAGCATGCAGCTGAGCTATAGCTGACCTGTGTCCTGCCACTCTGTATTTGTGGAGCCATTTCTCAGGACATACTAGGTCTTACCTCTGGGTTGCCGCCACAGGGAGTGTGAATGCATCCCGAGAGTCTTTCTCTCAACTTTAATGGGTTCTGGGTCAGGGCTGTGAAGTGTCTCATTGTCTTAAAATTTCCTCATGGTCAACATTTTAAGCATATGCATAATGCTACACTGGGTTTTAATCAGAGGTACTTTACTGCACAATTAGAAGCAAAAGTAGAAATGCTATGACTAGTCTGTTGCTATAAAGGTCAGTGAAAGAATTTAATAGCAAAAGATATCTATTTTTTTGGTGGTCATACAGGTAATTTTCATTAGCACTGGAATGGTGTGTTCAGAGAGCTAAGACAAAGACAGTACAAACAATAAAACAATCAAATGCAATATGGATACCACGTACTGTGTTCCCCTTCCAGTGCAAAATACAGCATCTTTCTGTTTTAACTGTAATGCTCTTTGAAAGAACGAGTACCAGTATAGAGATCATCCGAGATTAGCTCTGTAAAACTGTATTACCATAAAAGGGATCATCCATGTCACAGAGAAGCAGTCTCAGAAATAATCCAAGAGACTAAATTTGAATACTTGCCTCATTTTTATCTTGACAAAATGTTTTTACCTTTTGAACCTGGTGTTTATTCCATCTGTGTGCTCCTATCTTCTTGGGTTTTGATAAACCTCCAGCATGGGAGAGTGAGAAATTAATGTGTTTCACTTCATCTTCTCCCTGAGGTCACAAGTGAGGGAACAATAAAATTTCTAGGCAGAAATGAATTTCATTAAAAGGGGACCTAGTTAACCTATTGCAAGTTGTTATTTCTAATATCTGCCTTGGTGCGTTTCCATGAATTTTGCATCTGTGTGCTGTTTGATGTAGGGGTGGAGAATTGAGCAAATATAAAATATTAGTACTGTATCATTAGTGCTTAATTAAGACATAATAAAACTTACTGTGGGGGAAGGGACTAGAAGAGAAAATAGAACAGTGCCCTGGATTTTCTCATATAATTGTGTTATTTGGTATTTACTTGCCCTGGGTGAGAGTTCGTAAAAAGGTGGAAGGACAAAGAATTTGTGTCTATGTGCATGTAAGATTACTAGCAAGAGTATTTGTATGGTGACTGCCCTTACGTCCATTGATGTTCATGTTGCTGTGTTAGCCAGTTTTTGCCCTCAGGAGTGGAAAAAAGATTTGCTTTCCTATTAAATTTCCAGAAAGATGACAAAATTATGTTGAAAATTGTAGTTTTTCCTGTTTTATCTGCTGCAGAGGTTTTCTCCTTTTGTTGACAAACATAAACAATGGATGCTAGATTTGCACCTAAATTTTGTTCAGCAACACTTAAAGTAGTTTTGCTGTTGTGCCTGATGCTTATTGTTAATGCTTTTCTCTACTGTGGAAAAAAACCCACACTTAATGTCATTTTCTTTCATTTGCAACTGCACTTTGTTCTTTGTTTGCCTGAGCAAAATGTGACTGATGATGCCTATCTTTACTTGAATACTGCACTGTGATCTACAGAAACTGCAAAACTGATTTACTTACACTTTTTTGGTTTGTTTTTAATATCCACCAAAACATGCCAGAGGACATAAAATCAGATGTAGGGTTTGGTCTGAAGAGCTCAGAAGGAGTGCACAGGTGCCGCTTGCCCAACATGCAGTATATTTAAACTCAGGCCTGTTCTAAGTGATACTTTTATAAACCAGAACCTTTGAAATGTTGAATTGTCTTTAAAACAACCACATGGCTCTAAATAATAAACTGTGGTAGGGCTCAGTACTTTTATTAGCTAATTAAACATTTGCTGTGTTGAGAGAAATGCTTTGGAACACACGCCTGAATTTATAACAAAATTCATTCTGTATTTCTGCCATGTGGAAAGGAGGCTCATCTGGGAGTGGGTGGGAGAATGTGAAGAGAAGCTTTTCCAATTGCTTAAAAAGAAGTTTGAAGTTTATTTTTTGAGTGAAGTGGTTAGTTTAGGAGGGAGCTCAGCAAGTTCTGAGCTAGACAGGTTTTCCCATTGGTTTACTGAACCTGAAAGAGACACTGATTTATAGGAAGCATGTCTTGCAAGTTCCAGTTCTTGGCTTTCCCTAGATACAAGCGTCATAACATGCACTTCTTACTAAATAAGACCACCATCTGCAAACATCCCCTGTGGAATTCCTTAGGCATCCTACAGAAAAATGTACTTGTGTGTACATCTTCCTTTAAAATAAAGCTTTATCTCCAGAAGCATCACCTAATCATTTTGCTAAAAACCTCTGTTCTTTGTAAAATTCATGAAATAGAAAACAAAATCTGAATAAACGATAACCTGCTGAGCCACTTACGTTCACTGTTGTAAATGAAGCTCTAACTTTGTTTTTTATCTCCAACAGACAAACAACAGAAAGGTGAATTTGCCTTAGAGGGCTACACCATCAGAATGAATAATAGCCTTCGGAAGGATGCAAAGAAAGATTGCTGTTTTGAAATCTCCGCTCCTGATAAGCGCATTTATCAGGTTTGACTTTTTAATGTTGACTTGAAATTAAATTGATAAAGCTGTTACAATTCCAGTTACTGAATTAACATTTCAGTAAAACAAGTTTCACTGACATCTTAATGAAAAGAGGAAACGCTAGCTTGCTTATATTGTATATTCATATATTAGGAAAAAAATCTGATTTAAAATATGCATGTATGTGTTCAAATATTATCTTTTTGGACAAGAGTAAGGAAATCTATCATCTTTATCTATTGGTCATTTCAATGTTAGCATTTTAATATCTATTGTATAGTATGTCTGTGTGATTTCTTGGATGAATTAAATAGTAAAAAAAAGTTAAAATATATATCAGTGTTAAATACATATTGTATTGGTTATGGCTTTGCAAGGAAAATCTGCGTAAAGGCACATATCAGCTGTGCAATTCAGAGATCTATCAGCTAGACATCAATATGGAATGTAAGTTTAATAAGTTTTAAATATCTGAGATTGCAGTTGAAAGCCAGTTAATTAAGCTGTCAAGTAGTGTGTTGGAGTCTGACAAGAACATTTTTAAGAAAACTGTACCCAGCAGTCTAAAGAAATTCATGGGTGTCTTCTAATTGTCAAGGGCAAATTTTGTTCATCAGTTCTGGCTTTGACATTGATGAAGAGAAGCAGCTTTTTTCTGCACAGCTGCCAGCTGCTGATCAGAGTTTCAAATCCATCATCCTCTCCTTCAATTACGTAAATTTGTCAAAATTAGCTGTACATTATAAGAAGCATCCTTGCAAGAAAAGTACCAGAAGACATGAAAAGAATTATTAATGGTTTCTTGAGGAAGTGATGAGAATGCTACAGTCCCACTTTTTTATTGCTAATGAAATTGTAGTTGTGTCTTTGTCATTACTGCTAGTAGTTTTTAATAAATGTTTAATAGTTTACAGCTGCCACTCCCAAAGAAGCAGAGGAATGGGTACAGCAAGTCAAATTTCTAATTCAAGGTAAGCCAGCCAGTAGAGCAGTAGCCTTTATTGCCAATACTGTTTAGTGATGGTAGTTCTTTCCATTAACGTATCTGTCATGTTTGTATATCTAGTATTCCCACTTATCCAGGTTTTGAATAGCAAGTCCTAGTTCTCAATCATGCTGTAGCTTTTACATGACTCTTCTCCTTTTGCAATTTTTTTGCTTTTTTCCAAGAATACTATTTAGCTTGAAAGCTCTTCCTTATGAACACTGTAAGAAGGTAATCAGAATATACTGTAAGCACCAGCTCCTAGAAGATGAATTGTGTTTTTATTTTGCATAAATTTCTGCTTAGGCCTTCTTTTCTAGTAAATGTTAACTTTTTAAATTGCTGTTACATAGATATGGGATCTAATACAATTCCTGAGGAGGAGGAAGAAGAATATGACGATGTTGGACAAGTGAGCAGTGAACCAATAGATGATAGCATTTACGAAGAAGTTAAAGGTATTGCTGAGATTTTTTTATTTTGTGACTTGTGATCATTTTGTCTTCTCTACTTCTAGTTTGATAACTGAGTGGCTAAAAGAAAGTGAGTAAAGTCACCCGATGAATAAGATACTTTCAGATTTCAAGTTTTGCTAGGACGTTCAAAAAAGAATGTGTCTTCAACCAGGTCTGAGTGAGAACAGTTCAGTTTTCTTTAGCAGGGGCATCAAAATAGTGCAGAATGTGTAAAAGTGGTCTCAGGGGACTTCCGGCTCATTAACATTCTCTGGTACACAATTTTTTTTAATTAAAAAATTGACTTGCCTTACAGCTTTTTCCACCAACTTGCCCATCATTTTTTTTCTGTATTCATTTTGGCATTTGTATTAAGTAAAAGTTTGCTATCACTCCATATGTTATCAGGTGCTGCCTAATACATGATATTATAATCCTGCAAGAAAGCAATGTGTTGATTTGAAAGGGCTCTGGAGATGAACTGTAAATAAAGGCAGCACAAGTATTGACATTTTCTTTCATATCTTCCACCATGACTATGATTATACAGAAACTTTTTACTGTGGACTTTCTGATGTGGTCAAATGATTATGCCTCTAGATGTCCAAGTTTATCTATCAGATGGCAAAACAAAAGAGCTTGGCAAAAGCTCTTGAAGATGTTTATAGACATTCAAGTATTAGGAGAAAGGTGGTTGTTCTTGATTATATTTTAAGAAGCTATGAAAAAAAATCATTTTTTTCAGTTACCATTCATTAACAAATGATATTTTAAAGTGATATGACAATTATCACTTTGTATGAAATAATGTTCTGCATCCCTTGCTGTTTGGGGCAGTGCAATTATCAGCAATAACTTGAGAGGAAAAATTAGTTGTGTCACATGATGCTGACCAGCATACATAAAATGATGTATCTGTTAGGTTGAATATTTTGACCATTGCAGAAAAGAACATTTTATAGTATGCCTTGGTTTTCATTTTAAGGTCATTTCAGTGAACCAAGGGAGCAGAGAACATGAGTGACTGGTGAAAATGATTATTGTAAAATTGTAGCAGCACTCAATTTTTTAAGAGCTGGTCTTTTTGGTTCCATTTCTTTCAATTGTACCTAGACTACTTCAGCACAGAATACATGTTCTGATGAAATGGGGTGCAGTGTGTCATGCATGCTGAAAAACTCTTCTGCAGTGAATATAAAAACTACATTACAGGGCTTAATCTTATACCGAGAGGATACAGCCAAACCTTATTGCAGTGCTTTTTGGATGCTCAGGCTCTTACAGAAGGTGATCTTGTATGCTTGCCTATGCTTTTGTTAAAGAAGCTCTAGACGTATCCTGGGATAAATTACTCTCTTTCTGAGCTTCACTTATCTTACCTGTTCATTTGAATCTCAAACAGTAAGTAGATCTGGAGCAGTAACACATACAATATTGGTAGAGGGCCAATAGTTAATATATGCTTTGAGTTCTTTGCTTTGAGTTCTGTCTTCAGAGAATTGCTTCCTTGGAATGATTCTGCAAGAATTTAGAGTATTTTCACTTATATCCCATTATGTCAGTTTTCCAGGAACTGTTCTCTCCTAATGTGGCTAATAAATCTGAAATGTAACAGAACAGGTGTCACAAAGAAAGGATAGCTCTTCTGTTATTCCAGAAACCTAGTTTCAGTTTTTAGTTAAATGAATTTCTTTCCCCATGATCTTGGAGTGGTGCTTCATTTTCATCTTGTCAAGTAGGGATTATCTATCTTTATCTCATGCTTTCTCCATCTCGTTTATTTGAATTGTAAACTTTTCAGGAAGGACCATATTACCTTGTACGGTGGGGCTCTTAATTTTGGCTGTGATGTGTTGGCATAACTAAGTAAAAATAAAGCATAGGTTTGCAATAGATTTTAGGTGATTAAAGCATCTTTTTCTCATCCATAATTATGCTTTAATAGTCATTTGCTTAAACGGAATTTAAAACCTATGGCTCTGATGCCTTAGAGCAGTCCTTCTCTTCTTTATCCATAGCACATTGAAGAGTATTAGATGAAGTGCTAGTTGACAAACCTCACAGGACTAGGCCTTATTTGGTTCTTGTATAGCTGTTCATCTAAACTTGATGGTAAAAGAGCATGCTCCACTTTGGTCTCATCTGCCTTAATTAGGCCTGATTGGTTGCATTTAATTTCAGTTGGCTGTCCTTTCTATTTTCACAGGTAAGTGATTTACTCTTTCTTCCTTTCATGGTCAAAGGGTAGAGCATCATTATCCCTGCTGTTACCTGACTTAATAAGACAGAGCAAATAAGGAATTCTGAGCTCCTGTTAAGAGAACAGAAAAAAATAATTGTTTGTACAGCCCAAAAGCGATGCTAAGCTCTGGAATGCAGAAAACAAATTTGCTAGATCTCTGTGAAGAGGGAGAAGAAATTAATCTTCACTTTGTTTTTATCCTCAAAGCATCTTGAAGTTAGAGGCTTCTGTTTCTGCAGATCCACTAGCTTTATAAATATTGAATTTCAGGTACACAGCTCATTGTACTTTGTTATTATTTATTTGACTATAATTTGCAATTTCTCAAGTAAGTAAAATTTTGCATTTCTGTGGTTCTCCAGTGTTTTTTATATCAGCATTCAGAAGCAAATTAAGCCAGTTCATGATGCAGTCCATTTTGTAATATTGGGTTTGGTATTTGAATAAAGAGTGTTTGGATTAAAAAGAGGATATGGAAATTTTTGCACATTTTTGAAAATTGGAACTTTTGGAGAGCTGTTGCAGTAATCAGAACTGACTGATGCTGTATTCTCTAGCTATCACATTGCTTAGCTATTTTCCCCTCCCCGCTTGTGGCAGGAGATGGTGTAGATGAATTTTCCAGGCAGGAGCTGAATAGCTTCAAACCAGTGTTCAGAATGGTAACAATCTATTAGACTATTAAAAGCATAGATTTCACTGGAATTCAATTTGTACTGTCTGCTGGCAGGAGGAGTGGGTTGATAGTTGGAGGGGGTACAAAGAGAGGTGGGAAAACTAATCTTTTGCTCTGTTAAGTCACTTTTCTTTAAATAGCACATACAAATTCATATTTATCATAGAAGCGTCATTTTCCTGGTTCTCGGTATTAGTCAGTGTTTTACTGTGGTTGTTCAGGTAGTCAAAAATGTCAGAACTGCCAAAGATTTCCCAACTTGTAAAACCTTCCTTGCAAGATTCTTCAGGAAAAGAAAGCTTTATACCGTCTTCAACAAACTAAGCTTTTGTCTTTTTGTTTTTTAATAAAAAAACGCGGAGGAAAACTTGGTTAAGTAAAACTAAAAATATTGTCAATAAAGGCCCATTTTTGCCTAATTGGCTATTTTTTTTCTACCTTAGTACACTCTATATAATTTTGCAGTCCACAGTTGGATATTATAAGCTGTAACATAAAATAAGTTCTGAAACTGTAGTATTGAATAACTGTGTGTGTAGAGCTACCTAGATGCATAGAGTTTCTAGCTTAGTGGTGTTTTAAGCAATGGAGTTGTCCTTGTCAGAAGAGAGAACACTTGCCAGCTTTAAAGAATATGTCATCTGTTACAGCCCTTGAAGACCAAATTTTTTTATTAACTCAGGTTTTCAGTGACATAATTTTTAAGGGCTTTCAGTATTGTCTTCTGTGGTTTCACATCTGTATGGAGCACATACCCAAAACTGCAGTGCTAACTACTGCCTGCCACCTTGACGCTTTCTACAACCTCATCTCAGTTTGTGTACTGTCTACAATACTCTTGCACAATAGGAGAAAAGAGTGTTAATCTAAGATAACATACTTAGTTTTCAATCTTGTGTTGTCTTTTTTCTTCTGTTCTCTTTCTGCTCACAAACTTGCATTATAGTAGTAGTTTCCACAGTGTACGGTATAGTTTCCATTAAAATGTTTCTAAAGATAAGGTTTGATTCTTACTTTGGTGGTACTTAGTTGGTGCATGGAGATAAAAAGCTGCCCTTACAGAATAGGTAAGGTTGGAAATCCTGAAGCAATGTGATGTGACACAAGGCTGGCATTGTTGACTTTGTGCCATCTCTTCTTAGCCTGTCAGAACCCAGAGAGCTTTTGGGTGAGGACAGTGAAATTCAGTGCTGTGGTGATCTCTAGCCAAGGGAACTGCTGTGGAGAACTAACCCAGCCAACACAACTTGCATCGGTTCTTAGTTCGCTGTAAATTAAATTTTGGAATTGATTCAATCTTTGATTGGGCCAAGGATCATGGTCAAGCCCAGGTATCTGGCCAATAGTTCTGTTTTGCAGTGTAGTTGGAAGCTTAGCTAGGGAAACTGTAACTAGGGCAAAGCTCAGGGAAAGGTAAGGAATGTCTTAAGTTTTATACAACAGGAAGTGTTCTACACAAAGAAACACTTTTTGATTTGTTTACTTATTTTAAGCAAAGTCTTTTAAATAGTTTTAAAATTATATTGATGTTGTTTCAGAACTTATTTCTGACATTGTGCATGAAGGTAGGGAATGATCAGCCATCCTGTCCCTGTCTCACGGTTGTCTCTTTAAGCAGCTTTGTCATCTTAATTTTTTCTAACAGTTAAGCAGCATAACTTAATACCATCCTCTCTTGTTGCTGGATTGCTTGAGCTTTGAAGAAGCAAATTGTTTTTATGATGTTGTACCCCTTTCATGAGCATGGAGGGGGGAAAAAGAAGAACGTGATCTCTGATTTACCTCTTCTTGGGAAGAAGGAAGTAATGATTATGTAGTGGAGTTTGAGTGTAAGTTTGATCTGTCACTCATGAACACTGACTCATAGCAAATATTTGTGTTCTCAAAATGTAGCATTAGATGTATTGACTTTTTGGCACTAGAAGTGAAGATTTCACAGTGCTGTGTTAATGAAAATGCCTTTTCAGGAGACCTTTGCTTATTTTAGAGTTTTCAATATATCACAGTCAGGGTCTGTGGGCCCAATATAGCATTTGGTGTCTGGCAGTCCCAGTTGTGGATTACAGGTGTATAATCAGTTCCTAA